TTTTTTTTTTTTTTTTTTTGGGTCCTCTGATGTCTACTTGAAAGATAAGGTGCCTTTATGAAATTTTCCTTTCAAAAAAAAAAAAACAGATAAGTTGCCTTTATAATTTATTGTGTTCATTTTGTAGTTTCTCTGTATATTCTATTAGAAATTTTAACTTAGGCCCTAAATGAATTCTGTCAAGTACAATAACTCCAAAAGTGGACATACTTTTGAGAAGCTGGAAATATACATATCAAATTCTTTTGTGAAGTCTTGATAAAATCTGCTTATATCTTTTTTGCATGTCATTTGTTCAACTTATAAAGTAAACTTTCGGGTTTCTCTTATGCATTGCAAGTGTGTGAAAAAGAGTATAAACATGGACATACAACTTTCAAAATATAACTTATAAGCAGCATTGCAAGCAGTACAGTACTTGATATTCGACATGAAAATAAAATAAAAAACGACATCAAAGTGATAAAACGACATGAATGGAAACCGCAACAAGAGCAAAGAGCAACAATAAGTAATAAACATAATCAGCATTTAATCGACAACATAGATCAAAAAACAACATGCACGTCAGAAACGATAAAAATACAAAAACAAAAAAACAAAAAAACAAAAACAAAAGCCGTATGAGAAAAATAAAATATGACGCGACTTAGAAAACTTTGACAATCTTGCAAACGACGTTAAATCATAAATGCGAGGAGTAGGATTGAAGAACAAATGAACATCCACAAAAATAGAATGAACGACAACACAAATATTACAAAAGAAAAACAAACTACATAACCAAAGAACGCCGCAAATGTTCTTCCAAATGACGACAATATATAAAAACGACATATTGTAAAGTAGAAAATAAGTTTCTTGAAAAACGATACACACACACACACACACACACAACAACAACAACAAAAACAACAACAACAATCCTCGAAACAACATGTCAAAACAAAAGCAGAAAACGACATCAAAAGGATAAACAACATATGAAAAACAACCGGCAGAACAGAGAAAACTACAAAAGTGCTGCAAAATAGAGCATGTAGGCTATAGCTTTTTTTTTTTTTTTTTTTTGTAGACGTACTTTTTCGTAAGCAATGTAGTTGATAAGACAAAACAAGTTTTTTTTTTTTTTTTGAAAACCTAAACAAGCTTATTATTGAAAGTTACGATGTTTCTCTAATAAATAATTTATATGGGTCAAAAGAAAAGATAATTGTTCGTGCTTGTTACAGCATGTCATTCAATGCTGAAATTTAAGAATCATGAACATCAATTAACTAAAAAATAAGGAAAATTCAAATTTAAGAGTCATGAAATTTACAAAACAAAACAACAAATAAAGGAAATACTACTAGGTTCGAGTTGAGAGTTCTGGCTCAGAATTATGTAAAATCCGATTTGGATTTTAATTTCGCAAGAACTAATACAGCTATCAAACATTTTTATGGCGACTGGATGACATAGAAATGCCGATTTGTTGCTGACCCCACCTTTGGTAAAGTATCAATTTATATCGAAAGAATATTTCAACAACCCAGCCGTGGCTAATGGAGTCTCAATAAACAGGAAACATGATAAATCTCAACGTGCGATCTGGTTGATTGGTTCTAAGTACGGAATTATCTTCGAAAGGGTAAGGTAGAGTTGCTCTTATTTTTTCGAGTTTTTTAGGATTTGTTTTATTTTATCAAAAGTAAGCAATATGCAATTTTTGAAGGAATTTGATAAAATTTTATCAAACAAGAAATGTGCGCTGCCAGTTTTTTTTGTTTTTATTTATTTTTTATACAAGGCAGAATTCCCATTATTCCCATATTCAGAGTTTTCTGCTATTTTGTTGAAAGTATCAATTTCAAACTGCATGAAAAAAAAAGGATGAGGTTGTAGTAATTGAAGCTACAGTAATAAATGTATATATATTATACAAGGCAGAATTCCCATTATTCCCATATTCAGAGTTTTCTGTTATTTTGTTGAAAGTGTCAATTTCAAACTGCATGAAAAAAAAGGATGAGGTTGTAGTAATTGAAGCTACAGTAATAAATGTATATATATATATATATATGGCAATATACAATTGCTTGAATTAAAGCTGTAGGCACAAATTAATAATTGGTCTCAGGTAAAATACTTCCAAAAGTGGATGCTTATCAGGATTTCTCCCATTTTCTAATAGCCAAATTTATAGCATTTTATGAAGCTGGATGTGTCCCGTTTAGTTCGCTGATTCGAGTTTTTAATTCGAGTTGAGATGTGATTTTATATGAGAGTTTTTTACTGTAGCAAAAAAGTTAGATTTGATTGTTTGTGAGAGCTTTTTACTGTAGTAAAACTCGAATTTTAAACTCGAATCAGCGAAATGAACGGGACCGTTATCATCTGAAAATTACAAATGAAATGTGTTTGAATATTACCAATATTGTTCTGAGCCTGAGTACTCAAGTCAGATCCGCAGGATGCAAATTAATAGATGTGTGATACTCTTGCAGTTTCATAATTCAGTCCCTGACAATTGTGTCATATAATGTTGCTTTCTTAATATATAGAATCCAATGAACCTTTCACTTTCAGCCTCACGGGCTAAAGGAACAGTGTATTAATTGTGTAAATTAGCAGTGTCATAGAAGCACTATTTCATGATGCCATCACCAGTGGGAGATAAAGGCCGAGACCACGAAAAAATTGATTAAAGAATAATGCATTAACATGGTTATTTAACCAATTAGTACATTAATTACAGAATGAAACATTAAAATTGGTTTAGTTACTCATATCAATGAAAGAATAACATGAGTTAAGTTGCCTAGTATAACCATACGACAATTTACAAGAAGGTCATGTATGCAGCCAGGTGATCTTCAAAATTGGATCTTATCTCCACAATTTCATTCTAAAATCTTGCGCAATTCGTCGGGACGGCAAGGAACAATAAGCGCACCGATTTGTTCGAATCCATATTCCTCCTCAGCCTGTTCAAGTAGTCTCAGAAACGCAGGGCTTGTTAAGTACTTAAGCTTAACAACAAACCTCTTTCTCTCATCACCCTTCGCCGCCAACACCGCGAAATGCCCTTCCTTCACATCGCCGGGTACTGTAGTTGGCACTTCCCATTGATCTTCTTCTTCAAAAGCACCCAACTCTTTGGCTGCTGCTAATTTATGCGAGAAGCGCTTTTGCAGTCTTCCCATGAAAGGCCAAAGCCTAAGGAAAGTTGAAGCTCTTCCTTCTCCGTCGTACTTTTGGTTACACATGATTGTTGATGATAAGACTAAACAAGCTTCTTTATGATTTGATAATTGGAATGGTTCTCTTTGTTACTTGTGATGGAGATTTTATAGTGGCATTTTGAGGGATCATCTGATCATTGACAAGGATCGAAGAAATTTCACTGGGGCCCAATAAAGAGATAAACTCATGCGGTTGTTGCAACTTATCACTCAATAATGTATTCTTGTCTCCCTTGTGATCTTAGTTGCACACGGAGAGACGCGGTATTCTGAGCACATATTTTACTTGGTGGTGAAAAGAAAAGTGCTCTGTATATTCTAAATAAGTTATCTTTTTGTTGCTCCATATAAAATCTAACACTTTATTATTAAATTTTGCGCACTCTTGTGAGCTTATCTTTATATATATATATATATATATAAACCTTTAGCTACACGAGTTTTTACGGCATGTGTGAGGAGAGCGATGTCTTAATTTACTTAAAAAGATAAATTTTAATCATACTTAAAAATGACAATAGCTTCTGGAAACGACAACATCTTGAGAAACAACTCCAATTTTAAAATCACCATTCAAAAAATTTTATTCATGCAGGAACGTTGGAGTTCATTGTTTAATAACTCCAAAAGTGGATTTTTTATATTTATCCCAAAATGGCGACATATTTTTGGGAGGCTGGAACGTGATATTATTTGTGAAGTCTTTAGGAAATCTGCTTATATTTTTTATGCATGTCAATTCTACAACTTAAGTAAACTTTTGCGTTTCAGAGCTTTTGAAAAGAGAGATAAGTCATGACCAGACCAAGTTTATCCTATGTCAATGAAAGTGCGAGGAAAAGAGGATAAATATGGATATAAAACTATCAACAATTAATTAGCAGCATTGCAAGCAATACAACGTACACTTGAAAATTGACATGAAAATAAAATAAAAAAACGACATCACAGGGATAAAACGCCATGAATAGAACAAGCGGCGACAAAAAGAACAACTAGAAACTTTTAAAATTCAGAAACCACAGCAAAAGGCAACAAACGACAGAAAATAGAAAACGACAAAAGTGTTACAAAATAAATAAAGCATGCAGGCTGTAACCTCCTCCTCCTCCCCCAGTACTTTTTCGTAAGCAATGTAGTTGATTAATTTGACTATTTCAGCAAAAAAAATGTAGTGGAAAGACTAAAACAAGTTTATGGTTGAAAGTTGCGATGTTTATGATTTAGGTGCTTGTGTTACAGCATGTCATTCAATGCTATATTTGTCTCATCTCTTTTTTTTTTTTTAAGGGAAAAGAATTAAAAAAGTACAAACACTATTACTGACACAAATGGTCCAAAACATAAGAAGACTTCAAACATTGACTGGTACCATCGATAAATTCGAATTAAATTCGAATGAAACGCTCAAGTGGTCAAAACGTATGCGGGGTTCCACAATTGGAAAACCAAAACGGCACACCAAATATCGAGTACAAACATGACTCTTTCAACAAAACCGCTATAATCGATAGAAAAGTCTGATCAATCAAGATTAAGAGACTTATAGTATTAAGGCCGCCTACAACACCGCAATAAAGCAGACTAAATAAACAACCTACACCGAAAGATGGGGAACTAACCTTCACTAAAACACAACAAAAACAAAACACATAGTGAAGACACCCAAATGGCGAAACCAGGCATACCATTATTTGACAAACACATAAACTAAAAGCAACAAAAAAGTCCGAAATCACACAAACGGCGCTTCCGATGAGAGAACGGCTAGCAAGATTGAAGAGGGAAGATCCACCAGCATGAGAAAGGACGAAAGCAACCACCAACAAACCACCCGCCGTACGACGTTTGGTGAAGAAATGCCAGCGGCACCGCCCACAACCAAAGTCACGAGCACCGCCAGAAAGACTAGAACACAAGGGGACAGACACCTCAAAGTTGAAGACCCGTTGGAGTATCGACGCTCCCGGAGAAAGAGGCCATAGCAGCGGCACAGATCTCCCGGAGTATTGACGCTCCCGGAGAAAGCTCCCTGACATTTGTGTCATATAATGTTTGCTTTCTTAATATATAGAATCCATTGAACCTTCCATGACTTTTAGCCTCAGGGCTAAAGGAACAGTGTAATTGTGTAAAGTAGCAGTACTATAGAAGTATTATTTTATGATGCCAATCACAAGTATGAGATAAAGGGCGAGACCATGAAAAAGTTGATTAAATAACAACGCATTGACATGGTTATTTAACCAATTACATTAATTAAAGAATGAAATAGTAAAATGGACTAATTAGTTACATAAACCAATGAAGGAATAACATGAAGGTCATGAAGGTCATGTGTAGCCTAGCCTGGTCTTCAAAATTTTCACTTATATATCTGCACAATGTCTTTCTAAAATCTTGTGTAATTCGTCGGGACGGCAAGGAACCACAAGAGCTCCGGTTTGTTCGAATCCGTATTCCTCCTCAGCCTGTTCAAGCAGTCTCAGAAACGTAGGGCTAGTTAAATACTTGAGATTAATTATAAACCTCTTTGTCTCAGAACCCTTCATTGCCAAGACTGCAAAATGTCCTTCCTTCACATCATCTGGTACTGTCGTTGGCACTTCTGATATTTCTTCTTCTTCAAAACCACCTAACTCTTTCAGCATGGCTGTTAAAAGCGAGAAGCGGTTTCGCAGTTTTCCCATGAAAAGCCGAAGCCTAAGGAAAGTTGTAGCTCTTTTTTCCCCGAAGAACTTTTGGTTACACATGAATAATGTTTGATGATAAGACTAATTACAAGCTGCTTATGATTTTGAAACTTGGGATGGTTCTCTTTGTTATTTGTGATTGGAGATTTTTATAGTGACTTGTTGAGGGATATGATCAGTTCAGTAACAAGAGGAGGAAATTTCACTGGGGTCCATTAATGAAAAGGCAAGTACGTCATATCGTTGTTGCAATACTCATCACTCAATATTTCAATAATGTATTTTTGTCTCACTTATATCAATGATTGCACACGGAGAAACGCGGAATCTGAACACATTTTACTTGGGGGTGAAAAGAAAATCTCTCTGTTAAAATGCAAGGTATTTGTTGTGAATCTACTGTTATCTGATCTTTTTAGAACCTTAAGCTACTCAAAAGTTTTTGTTGCCGGCACTTGATCTTAATCGAAAATGACGCAATTTAGGTCATACACAAGAAAAAAAAGGAAAAAAAAAACGACAAAGAGCCCGTGAAGACGACAACATCTTGAAAGAGCAACATCAGTTATGAAAATCATCATTCATCAACTCTTGATGTGGCAATATTAGAAAGATTAGGTGGAAATGTATATCAAGTTCCTTTTTGAAGTCTTGAGCAATCTGCTAATATTTTGTATTGACTTCGGAGAATTTTAATAATCTATTGACTTCGAAGCTATTGAAAAGGGAGACAAGTCATGACTCTAGGACAGGTTTATCTTATGTCTTTGCAAATGTAAGAAAAAGAGTGCAATTAATTGGATATACAACTTTGAAATATTCTGCACTGCAAGGAGATCACTTGGTTAACGACATGGAAATATAAAAAAGAAATCATAGGGATAAACGACATGAACAGAAAAAACAGCAACAATATTAATAGCGAAGAACAACAACTAATAAACTTTATGATCAGGTTTTCAATGACAAATAGATCATCAAACGACATGAAAATCAGAAACTACGAGATCTGATCTTGGATAATTGCTTAGCTTAACCTATAGAGGCAAATAATTGCTCTAAGGTAAGATTACAGCAACACTTGTTACTAAGACTCACAATTTTCCATTTTCTACCTGCCAATTTTTAGAAAATTTTATGGAGCCAGGCATTTATCTTGAATTATAATTTGTTTGTGTATGACCAATGGTCCGAACTTGACTCATGTCAGATAATCTGATCTTTTTTTTTAGGGGATGACAGAGAAATTTTGTTGTTTTGTGAGAATTCAATAACAAAAAAAAAAAAAAAAATAGTGTCAAGAAACTTTAACACATGTTTGACCATATTAGAGTACCATATTGCATAATAGTACTATGTTTGGTATAACAATCGTATTGTATAAAAGACCCAATATGTGATAACAATTTAAATGGAGATAAAGAGTGCAATTATGAGGGTTTGAATTCAGAACTTTTCGCGTTGATACCATGTTTCAAAATAAAGAACAAAATCTTGATAATGAAGAACAAAAGAAAGAACAAGGAGAAAGAGAGGGAGAAATACAAAGAAACGGAAAACTTAATGGACTACATTTTTATTAGCTTATATTATTTTGGAGAAAGGATATAGAATATATAGGTAAGGAAACAAGAAACATGCAACAAAAAATCCCTAAATCAGGGACACCAAATTCCCTAAATGAGGAAGAAATTATTCCCTAAATCAGGAAGAAATTACTGATAAGTTAATTCTACCAATCAATCCCACGAATTACGGGAGCATATTTCAACACTCCCCCTTAAGCTGGTTTATCCAGCTTGCAAACAAAGATCAAATCTTAAATATAATCGCGGGTGTCTGAACTCTTCAATGGTGCTTCAAGACTTCAGCACATGCAATTTTTCTTCAAGATGCATTCAAAGATCGAAAGATCATCAACTGCGTTTTAAACTTGCAGAATCATCAACTGCGCTCGAACATGCAGAGGTTTATTCAAATAGATCAAGAGATTTCACACGCCAGGCTCAAGTTCACAAGAGCTTCACAACGTACCAATTTCCAAAAGCTTCACATGCTAAGCTCAAATGAGCTTCAAAGGCGCACATGCTCCAACTGCGTTTCAGGAGATCAATTTTTCAGTGTCAGACGCTTCACAACACTGAATTTCCCTTTTTTATATTTTTTTTCTTTTTTTTTTTTTTTACTGCACAAAAAGAAATCCTATGCCACTTGCACTTGCACGCCTTTTTTTCTCTCAATTTTTTTATTATTTTTTTTTCTTCTTCTTTTGTAGACAACTACACCCACTTGCACGTTCCTTCACATTTTTTTATTATTTTTTTCCTTTTCACCCTTTTTTTTCTTTCTTCACCTAACCCATCACTTTTTTTTCCTTCTCCAGCCAAAAACTTCTTTTCCTTTTATTTTCTCTTCCATACGTTCTCAGCACTCTCTCTCTCTCTCTCTCCATCTCTATCTCTCTCCTCTCCTTTTTTTTTCTTCACCGCTTCTTCTTCTTCTTCGATGACAATAAATGTTTCGACTTTGGTGCAAGTGTGGTCTTCGAACGGCGACACATCGACGTCAGGTGGAGGGCTTCTTTGACAGAGATTCTTCAGCATTGGTTTCAACAGTTTGAACGACGACCTTCGGCGTTGGATTCTTCTTTGTTTTTTTTGTTTTTTGTTTTTTTTTGCTGGAATTAGAATTGAAAGCACAAACAGATCGATCCCAAGAGCTTAAAAGTTTTGATACCGCATTAATTTATCAATCCATTCTGAAAGCTTAAACTATTAAAAAGTATGCTAAAAATAATTTTATACTTTAACATTATCGTGAGTAGCTCAGAAGAAATTTCTTTGGGGTCCAATTAAGAGACATAGTTGCATGTGGGTGTTAAAACATTTCAATCAATAATTTAACTTCGTCTCTTGAGATTCTTAGTTGCACACGAAGATACGCGGTAATCGAGCACAAATTTTACAACGTGGTGAAAAAAGGAACAAAAGAAATACAAGTAAAGCTTTTGTCCAGTTTGGTTTGCAGTTTAAACCGCAATTTAAATATTTTGCTCCAGAGTTTACTCTCATTTTTGGGATTTCAGATCAAACTTTCTTTTACAAATTTATGAACTAATTAAACAGGTCGTCAGTGTCATGTTATAATCTGCAATTTTACAACATGTACTTGACAAACAAAATTAACTTCAAAAGAATTGTCTGATACCAGTACTAGTCCAACAAATATATATAACTTCTTTTCATATTTTTGTATAATATCATTTATTTGTGTATAACACTCAGTTTACTAAAGTGCAACATTTTAAAAATTTAGTCTAATACATGTAACATTAAGTATTACTCTTAAACAAACTGAGTGTAATATTTGTCAAAGTTCACGAGTGACAGACTTACAACTTTGCCTAAATTTAAAATCTATCATTTTTGGACACCATTCATGCTTTTTATATTCTAGGATTTTTCCCCCCTTTCATTCCTATTGTAAATACTGAAGACCCGCCTTTTCAAAGTTGAAGCGCATGATGGTTTTTCTTTTTTTTTTTTTCTGGGGGGGATTAGAGTGGACGTTTAGTTTACGGATTCATAATCATTTTTTATTTACGTGTGCGTTTTGTAAGAGAAAATACTGTAACGAGTCACGAATCATGATTCGAACCATGGCACGAATCTTCATACCAAACACCTTCTAAGATTTTGCAGACCCCACCTTTTGGTGAAAGATTTATCAAAGTTCTGGCATGGATGGTGATTTACATGATGGGGTCTCTTTAAACAGGAAATACACTGAATCTTAATGTACGGAACTTCACTTGATATTAGACATTCCACGTAGATTTTGCCGTCGCTTGGCAGCTTTGGCTGGCAAGTATACGGAAATATCTATTTGAAGGATAAGGTTGAATATTTTTTGTTCCCTTATTGATAACTATTTTGTTTAGGTTGGGTGTATATTCTATCAGAAATCTTAACTTCTAATTGACAATATAGTACAAAAGAATTAGAATTTATATGATGATTTGAAAAATGTAACGGCCACAAGCGTCAAACACAAAATATTGTCGAAGGATGTCGCTTCAGCAAACGGCGTGTTCTTAGTTCTTGAAGAACTAAAGCCGCCTCGTGAAGAACGAAAATTAAAAAAGAAAAATGAAAAGATGCTAAGAGAGTTACGACAGGAGAAGAAGAAGAAGAAGAAGTCCAAAGATTTAATATGATGAAAAGATGAGTAACGACAACAACAACAACAAAAAATGTCAAAAACAACACAAAACAAACGACAGAATGTGGAAAACCAGAGCGAGAGAGAACAACAAAAAAGAAGATTGAAGCCAACAAAAGAAAAACAAACGACAATGTCAGCAAGATAAACATAATTAACTGAACAAACGACAATAGTATGAAAACAACGTCAAATGCCAAACGACAACAAGCTTTGAAACGAGAATAAAATCATAAACGATATGAATAAAACAAGGAACGTTAAAATTGAAAATGACAACAATATAAGAAAGGATTAATTTCAAAAATTTCCCCTGAACTATAATTATTGTTGCACTTTGCCTCCTAGATTTCAAAACGTAACATCCTCTCTCTTTGAATTTTGTTTCGTTAACAATTTTGCTCATTCTGTTACATTGAGTGACGGAATCCGTTACGTGTCCATTATTTAGTAAGATTTGAAAGTAGAATTACGTTTATACCCATCTTTATTTAGTGATCATCGTTCGCCGGCAAGCCCTTGAGATCAAAGTACCTCGGCTCAATCATGGTCAAGCTTGGGGGCTTCCCATTCCTATCATCCTTCTTAAACTTCAAATCAAACTGATGAAACTTAAAAATGTACTTCAGTTTCCTCAAATTCCTCTAAAACAAGGTTGTGGGTAGGTTCCGAAAGTAAATCCCAAACTCCAAACCATTTTAATGAACAGAATCAAATATGGTCTTTTTGTGGATACCCTTGATCCAATTGCTTCTTGACATGGTTGGGAGATATGGACAAAGCTTGCTCAACAAAACCAGTCATGGAGGGAACTGAAGCATAGCCAAATACTTGTTGCGCAACGGCCTCGAAAGAGTGCCCAGGATCCGGATCAATGAACTCAGCATCGTCGGTGAAGCAAATCGTTTCGGGTTTCTGGGTTTTGGTGGAAGCGGGATTGCATTCTTCACTAGTGACGCCATTGATGTTTGGGTTCACGGATTTCTTCATCCACCCCAGCATGTGATTGAAGGAGTGATTCTCCATCACCAAAACAACAATGGTTTTGATGGGTTGTTGTTGGTGGCCGGAGACGAAATGGGTCGTTTGGGAAGTCCATAAGAACCAGGGTTCAAATCTTAAATTAGAACCATCCTAACTAAATATTGATTCTGAATGAATCATATCAGAATTATTTTTTATTTTTTATAAACAAACACTAGTTCTTAACCAAAATTATGGTTCCGGATTCAGAACCCTTACACCAAACAACACCTTAGTTAATGAAGACATTCCGCGTAGCTTTTGGAATCATTTGGCTGGAAAGTACGGAAATATATATCAGCCATAGGAAATATAAGGCTGAGTCTTAATTTAAAAAATAAAAAAATAAAAAAAAAACTTAATTAGTTAATTTGCTACTTTGTTTAGTAGTTTGTCTGCGTATATATTAGGTTAGACTTAGAAATTTTAACTTCCATATGTCCGATGTGCACTTAAAAAACATTTCTTATTAATTTAATGAAATTTAATACAATGGTTTATTAAATAGTAGTTGATCAATACTAGAGAAACATAAGGGTTCTAAAAAAAATTTAATGGCTCCCTGATAGAGGGAAATGAATTGACGAAATCAGAGAGAGCATACAAGAGAGAAACAGAATTTCTTTCATTATCTGATTTGCATTAATTAAAGAAATTCTTACATTAAAATATATCTAATAATGTGTAAATACACAAACATTTAATGAGTTTCTTTCTGTACGTAGCAATTTGTGCCTAATGAAAGGAGATAATTCATAGCTAAAGATGAAGCAGAAGAAAACAAGAGTTTAACTGATTAATTAACAATATACAGCTTTGAAGCATCTTAATTACAGCATCACAAGCATCACACTTAGAGACAAGTCATCCTGGAAAACGACGTGATCATAAAACAAAATAAAACAATTAGACATGATTTTTAAATAGTGTTTCGTCTCTTTTCTGTCTTTAAAATCTTGTGTAATTCCTCAGGTTTGCAAGGAACCACAAGAGCTCCAGTTTGTTGAAAACCATATTCCTCCTCAGCCTGCTCAAGCAGCCTCAGAAACGTAGGGCTATTTAAGCACTCGAGCTTAACAACAAACCTCTTTTTTTCGGCACCATTCACTGCCAAGACCGCGAAATGCCCTTCCTTCACATCATCCGGCACTGCTAATTTTGTCACTTCCAATTCTTCTCCATCAGAATCGCGACCATCTTCTTTTGTTGCTGCTGAGAGCGAGAAGCGCTTTTGCAGTTTTCCGATAAAAAGCCGAAGCCTAAGCAGGCCTGTAGCTCTTTGTTCCCGGCCGTAGTACTTTTGAGTACACATTCTTGTTGATGATAAGACTAAACAAGGCTATGATTTGAAACTTAGGATATATGTTCCTCTTCGTTATTTGTGATGGACATTTAATAGTGGCTTTGCTTGTTTGAGGGATATTAGTAACAAGGAAGAAATTTCTCTAAGGGTCCAATGAAGAGACAATAATTTCATGTGATTGATGCAACTTGTCGCGCAATAAGTACTTTTGTCCCTCTTCTAATCTTTAGTTGCACATGGAGAGAAACACGTTATTTGAACACAACTTCTTTGGTGATGTAAAAAAAAAAGAAAAAGAAAAAAAAAACAATGAATAATGGATAATTCTGACCCCACCTTAGATAAAGGATTTTATTTTATGAAATTTTTTGGATAATTCTTCAATGATGATGGGGTCTCCTTAAACTGGAAATGTAATATAAATCTCAATGTGGGAGCTTCAGTTGATAAAGAAATTCCGCGTAGCTTTTGCAGTCCTTTTGCTGGCAAGTCCGAAATGTTTAGCAGGAAGATAAGGTGTCACACTTCATTTTTTCTTTTTTTTTTTTTTTTTTTGGGCCTCCCCTTGGTAATTATAGTAACCCTCATTAACATAAGAAACAAAGATGGAACACTTTTGCCTTGATAATTATTTCTCATTATGCCGAGACGAGCCGACCCCGAGCAGGCCTATTTTCCGCGAGTTTATGGTCCTGTCGGGGCGTTGCAGTTAATGATTTTCCCACCCTAATTCCGTCGGCTTGGCTGAGTTCTGGCTAAACCCGGCCGATGTACACCCCTAACACAGACATGTAAATTCATTTCAATTTGTACGACTGGAATATGAAATTTTTGTGGCAGAAAGGTGGATTATTAAAAGAGCACATGTACCAACTTTTAGTTTTCAGTGATAATGAAAAGAGAGGTATTTCACAGCTCAATAAACAAAATAAAGTAGAAGCAAATGTATGTCGCGATGATTATCTATTAAATATAAAAATTTAATTATGTGACTATAAGAATGCAATTTCATTAATTACAATAAATTTTTTTACCAATTAATAATTGTCGAATCAATATTTTAAAGTTAAAATAATGATTGATAAATATTGAAGTAACCATTAAATTCATATGTGTGGAAGACTCAATAAACAACTGATTAACAAGGATTCAGTTGTGTAGTAGTATCGCCCTATACATATACGACAGAAATGTTGCATGAAGGTGTATATTAAGCTCTTCAAAACTAGATTTGACTTATGTTCTTCGCCTCTCCATTTGGGCCCTCGGGAAGGAGAAAGTTCTCTGTAATATCTGCAAAAACATGATCTATTTTAGAAGTTTTTCAAGCACCGGCATTTCTGTTTGCTTTTCTTGTTTCTTTTTTTTTTTTTTTTCCTCGACAGATATTTGAGCAAAGATTCGTTAAAGTTTAAAACCCATCTGTCTCACAGCTTGCGCATCGCAAGTACAAGAAAACGCGTACTAAATGTATAAATAAAAATAAAATCCCACACCGACAATGTACAAGAGAAATTATGAGTTTTGAAAAATGTGACACTAAAAAAAATATCACAACATGCCGCTTTCGGTAAAAGGCAGGTTCATAGTAAAGCAAAACATAAATAAATAAATAAATAAAAATAAAAATAAAAAAGAGAGGGAAAAAAAAAAGATATCAGAAACGACAATTAAAGACTAAACGGCAGAGAATTTCAGACGACAAGAATCACGCAAAATGAAACGAGAGAGAGAGAGAGATTAAAAGATATGAGAAACGACAATTAAAGATTTCTAAACGGCAGAGAATTTCAGACGACAAAAATCACGCAAAATGAAACGAGAGAGAGAGAGAGAGAGAGAGAGATTAAAAGATATGAGAAACGACAATTAAATACTAAACGGCAGAGAATTTCAGACGACAAGAATCACGCAAAATGATATCAAAAGTATAACAACGTCAAAAGGTTGAGAATCAAGGAAAGAAAACGACATCATAAATATTTTTCAAAAAAAAGGCGTGAAACAAAAAGTTAAAAGAACAATAATGAAAACGACATCAAAAGAAAAAACAATAGATGGTACTAGGAAAGGATGAAAAAGTCACAAAAAATAACAAAATAAACGATAAAATGATCAGAAAAGGATAAAATTCCGGTAAATGAAAACGACATCAAAATAAAAGCAATCGATGGTACCTAGAAAAGGACATTAATCTTGGAGACTAAAGACGTACACGAAATAACACAAAAAACGACAAGATGATTAGGAAACGACAAGGAAAGGATACAAAATATCAGCAATAAACTACAATAGCAAAGAAGTGGCATGAACAGGAAAATTAAAACAAAAACATAATAAAAAAATAGCCAACAAAAGGAACGAAAACGACAGCGTTTTTGGAAACAAGAATAGCTTGATAAACGACAAGAAATGAAAAGGACAATGCGCACGACATAAGAAAAGGAACAATCACAATTTAGTGGGACACCACTAAAGAATGCACAAACAACAGACAGTAGAAACTAGAAAACCAGAACACTGATAGAAACGGCATCAAAACACCAAACGACAACAAAAAGATGGAGAGCCGCGCGCGCGCACACACACACACAAACGATCACATGAACACTAAAAACGACAAAAGTTAAACAAGGGGCATGAACATCCAAAATGTAAACATCTCTGGGGAAGTCCCTCTGACGTAGCATGTAAATATAAAAGAACATAACATGACAGTCTTTATATGACTAAATTCTTTGATGTTACACCTTTGTAAGGTCAATATAATGATCATCCATTGCCATTTTACGTTTTTCATAACTACGTAAGGTACCCAAAAAAAAGCCACATATATATATATATATATATATGAAAATGATACTGCGGATTGCTTGAACCCCACTTTGCTACTTTTTTATACCATGAGAATTTGAAAATTACTCATACGTAGATTTTGGTGTCATTTAGATGGAAAGTACAGAAATATGTTACATTAGTCTACACAGTTATAAGTTAAATTTTTTATTATAGCCAGCATAATAATTAGTTGTATTTGTATACTGGGTTCTAGGAAGATTTTGTTAATCAATTGTTAATTTTAAATTGGATAAAACATGGAGAGGATTTCATCAATTGAAGCTGCAATCATGGAAATATATCTGCGCTCGAAAGAACCATTGCCCAAAGTATTTTACTCAAGGTAAAATATATAACACCAGGCATGCATCAGTATCTTTTCTGAGTCATGTAAGGAAATATGTTTGTAAATACATCATCAATGAGTCTGACCAACTCTCTGCCTACGTCAGACATTTTCTTATGTAGATACATAAACATTTGATGGGCTCCATTCTGAACCTGTTTTTCACCTTTTTTTTTTTTTTTTTTTTTTTTTTTTGTAGCCAGAAACTTTGTGGAATTTCTTTGGAGAACTTGGATTTCTTTAAACTTTTAGGGCTAAGAAAATATAGTTAAGGTTACAACTTTCAATTCCTTTTACCATTGTACACTTAGAGAAGTCATCCTATAAAATAACAACAACAACAACAGAATACTACAAATCATATCCCATAAAATCACTAGACAAGAATACAAACACCCGGAAATAGAAACAATATCTTTTCTACTAATTTTGTAACGAGATGAACTGACCCAATCATAGATAGATAGAGATGTTGGTCTGGAATTCAGTCGGATCTTAGTAGACTGAAATGAAGAATCATTGTCCAAAATTTTTTGTCTTTAACTAAATTAATGATTAAAAAGTTTAAATATTGTTTTTAGAAATTATTTTATTAATGCACCACGCAAAGTCTGCAGCTTTCAAGTTCATACATAGTTGTAGAGATCACAGTCTCATAATTTAAACTGGCCTAACACATTTATTTATTTATTTATATATTTCTTATTATTATTATTATTTTGCAGGAATGGGAATCTGAAGTATTTTGGGCAAGTGGATATATAATATTATTGCTGATGGCATGACCCTATCTTTTGTAAAGGATTTATTATTTTGTATTTCATGGGAATTTTTGTGAATAAATATTGCCATCATTTAATTAAGTGGTGGGTCTCTTTAAATTAACAGGAAATAAAATAATTACTGACATTCCGCGTAGTTTTTGCAGTTGTTTGGTTGGCAAGTACGGAAATGTTGTCCCTTGAAATTGGAATATAAAACACAGGACGAAAGCAATGTGTAGTCATCTCTAATTTCTTGAACGAACTTGTAGGCTCAAATAATTGATATATGTAAAATAACTCCAAAAGTGATCATCTCTAATATCAATGTTAATATCAATTATACATTTAACACCAAAATGTGTGATATATATATATATATATGTTTTTATTTATACTCTGATGCATAATGATATTTTTAAATGTTAAATCTATTTTTCACCATAATTATTAAGTTTTGAAATTTGTAAAAGTAAGTTTTTAATTTAAAACTAATTTCAAAAATGTAAAAATTGCAATGATTAAATAAAATGGTAAATATATCAACCAATAACAATTAAATGTTAAATTTATTATATGTTATATGATAAATTTAGCATAAAAAATAACACTGCATTAGATAATATGTTTTACACCTAAATGTTAAATTTATCATTAACATATCAATCATAACATTACATTAGAGATAGTAACGAAGCTAGCTAAGGCTCAGAGGGGACTGCAGCCCCTGAGCCCAGCTAAATGCTTTGGTGTTCTTTCAAAATTTATTAGTTTACCCTATTTTTTCTTACTTAACCCCTGTAAAATTTTCTATTTCTAAGTTTTAAGCTAAAATTGTTTAAAAAATTTATTTACATCCTTAAGTTTGATACAATATTTATATTATTTTTCCCCTTTAAAATTTTTCTAATTCTATATTTTGTCTAGAATATTAATATATTTTTATTTACACTCTCAATTTTTACTTTAAAAATACTCTATTGTGCAAAAAATTTAGTTTAAAATTTTTGTTTAGCCCCCTGAAATTTTTTTCTGACTTCATCATTGATTGGAGATGCCCTAAGCAAGCTTCCTTTCATTTGTACCGGCCAATATATATATATTTACATGATTTTTTATAAGTAGAAGTGTAGGAGAGAAAAGTGGAAGGAGGAAATGGAGTTTTGGTATATTAGTGGCTGCATAATTATGAGTATGTGTACTTATTTGGTAGGATCGAGGGATATGGCTAGGGATTTGAATCACCAATCAAGCGAGATTTTTCTGTCCTTCCAAGATTGGCCATAGACTGTGGAGGGGAAAATTGGAAATTTTTTGTTTAACAAGGTACATTGCATTAAAAAATATATACATATATGTAAACTAAATATTTGTTATATTTATGCCTATAAATCTGTCATTTCCATTCTCCTATTCCTTTATACTACTAAACAAGAGAGATGATGTTCAGAGCCAAAAAAGAGAGAGAGAGAGAGAGAGCAAGATGATTTTATTTCATTTCTAAGACAAAGTAAATGCACTGCAGCCATGTAGATCCGTACTTCCAATCTAGATGATATATGGTTTGTTTGGAGAACTTAAATCATTTTTAATTATCAGAGCTAATACTTTAAGATCAGATAATAATGATAATAAATAATATATGATAATAAAAGCAGCATGACTCCAATAACAAGTTTGATCTCACGTCATTAAAAATGTGTGAAGTAGAGTATAATTAGATGTACAACTTAACTTGAACATCCTAATTAATTACTAGCCGCATTGCAAGAAGTACGTACAAATAAAGAAGTCATCCAAGAAAAATATCATAAAACCAAAAAAAAATACAAAAAAAAAAAAAAACAATGGAACATGAATGTAACAACAATGAGTTCAGACATTAATCTCTAGCTAGCATTCTTCAATCATGCTCAAAATCTTGTGCAACTCCTCAGGTTTACAAGGAACGACAAGAGTTCCGGTTTGCTCAAAACCATATTCCTCCTCAGCCTGCTCAAGTAACCCGAGAAACGCAGGGCTATTCAAGAACTCAAGCTTAACAACAAACCTCTTTCTCTCACCGCCCTTCACCGCGAAAACCGCGAAATGCCCTTCCTTAACGTCGTCCGGTACGGCGGCAGTACTACTCGTCGACGTTTCTCGATCTTCATGATCTTCTCCTCCGGCCGCCGCCGAAAACGAGAGACCCCGTTGGAGCTTTCGGATGAGGAGGCGAAGCATGAGCAAGCCTGCAGTTCTCTCTTCCCCGCGGACGTGGTACTTTTCGGTACACATGATAATGAATATATCACTGTTGATTGATGATGATAAGACACAACTTATTATGAACAAGTTGTGCTTATGATGTTTCACTTTGTTGTTATAGTGTGATGGAGAGCTTATATATATATATATATATATGTATATGATTGGAATGTGATTATGAGAAGCATGAGGGAAATTTCTCTTTGGGGGTCCAAGGGGGGAGAGATAATTGCATGTGGCTGTGATAACACGTACGTCATTTAATGCTTTGGATTTTTTGTCTCACTTCTAATTCTTTCTCTGGCCATCTATTGAACACGAAATTGATTCACTTGGTGGTGAAAAATAAATTGAATAATGGTACTTTTTGTTGGTGATTTATTTTATGTGTTTTGAAACCATTAAATATGACTTCCATAATTACAATTTTCGAGATAGTGATTAAATTCTACACTATCTAGGAGATGCTTTTTGGAAATTGAAAAATGTGGAATTGTATGTTTAGTTTGTTGTCTGAAAAAAAATATATATTACCATAAAAACATTTAAGAAAAAAGGATAAGAGATAGGTAGATTGGTCTAATTTTAAGATTCATATGATAGTGAAAACACCTTTTACTCTTTTCATTACTGGCATATCGAAAATGGTTGAACATTTATCTTATGAAAACATGCTACGAAATATGGTTTTTTTTTTCCCCTATACCTAGTTGTCCTAAGACCTTCATTACCATTAAGATGCAAAAATATAAGACATCAACCAAGCGGGTCTTCAGTTTTCAATAGAGACGTAAATTGAAGCTTTAATGTTGGGCCATAAACTATAGTTTAGAGTTGGAATATTGTATGCACTCTTTTTTTTTTTTTTTTTGGTAACTATTTCATCAAGTTAAGTTTCACAAAAAAATCTTTTATTATGGCACTTTGGTTTGAGTAACAACGTCCGATTGTGTATGAAAACTTGACTAACACTTATGATTGATGTCAAGTTTTCCTGGTTGACTATATGACTTCTTAAATTTTTACAATGTCGGCGAGATCATTGAACAAATATTGATCCCGATAATGTTTTTATCGCTTTGTAATAAGATTAATGGCAAGTGGAGTGGAGAGTACTAGAAAGGACGTGGCCTCTTATTAGCCTTTTTTTTTTTTTTTTTCAAAAGGACGTCCTTTCAGCTCTCAACATTCTCAAGTTTAGTTTGACTAGTCAAGTGTAATTTACGCTTAAGCAGCTACTTTAGCATACGTCGGTTACTATATGATGGAAAATATATAAAAGGAGGGGTGGAAAATTAAAAGGAAATTTAAGTAATAAAATAATAAGATGCTAAAAATAAAAGGAAAGAAGATTTTAATTTATAATATTGTTTAGCAGAAGATCAGAAAAGAAAGAAAAAAAAAATGTCTATTCTAATTTTTTTTACAACTATACTCATGCAAATAAGAACATGGTCCCTTAAAACAAAAAAAAAATAAAGAAAGAAAAAAAAAATGTCTATTCTAATTTTTTTTACAACTATACTCTTATGCAAATAAGAACATGGTCCCTTAAAACAAAACAAAAAAATAAATAAGAACATGAGATGTGATTAAGGGCCAAAATGGTTATTTGATAATGTCTAGTCTAATTTATTTTATAACTATACTCTTTTGCAAATAAGAACATGTGGTGTGACATAATGTCTAGTTGAGACAATATATGGGTGTTCAAACACTGTCCCAACTTCTTTTGAGAATTTAAAATATACTTTTATCTTGCAAAAACAAAAGTAAGATTAAATAATTGCTCATATATAAATCTTGGCATTATTCTAGATTAAAACAAATATGCAGAATTGTTTGGTAGGGGTTTGAAAAAAAAATATTCTACTTGGCAGTTTTTTACTATCAGATCATCATCAAGTTCTATTAAATCGACAAGCCTTTTTTTAGTCTAATAAGATTATAATGTGATCTGAAGGTTAAAGTTCTATACAGGTAGATTTGTGTTTCATATCTTTCTAATGATTTTTCCAAAGTACATCTTCATGTAGAAAGGCAATTTTAATAACCAGTAAAGATCGTACAAATGATAGTTTTCTTTTTGTGACTATGTCCAGTCAGAAAAATAAATAAAAATATAACAAATTGTACTAGACACGGCTATTTTTTCACTTTTCATTTTATTAAATGATTTAATTTGAGTAATGTTATAGAGTACCGGTGATGCTAAGTACCGCCATCTAATAAAATGCAGGACCCGCAATGTAAAACCTACAAATAAGATCCATCTTTTATTAGATGGTAGTGCTTAACACCAGTGGTTGTTTGATTGACTAATCAATTCTTCATAAGTCGGTCACTGAGATGTTAGGCAAGGCTCATGATCATGTCAATTGTACATGATCATACTTATTGTTTTAGTTTAGCAAAGAAAAAAACAGACACAATATGGTTCTTGTACCGAATGGTACAATCCCTTTTCTATTATTGTCCGATGTAGGCTGGGGAGCGGCTTTAATCAATAACACTTTCATGTTTAAAGTAGGCTCGCCTTGGTTAACATATATAAAAGGCATATTTATTCCCTCGAAAAAAGTATATAATAATATGTAAAAGGAAAGAAAGAAAGATAAAAGACATGATGCATTTTGCAAAACGGAAGTATGGTTTCCATTTTATTGAGTTGGCATCCAAAAATAATTTACTATACTATTGAATCCTCAATTGCTACAGAAACTAAAATTGCGCATCTTTCATCGGTATATATGAATACAATTAATGGGGAGCCAAAATTAATAACCTATTTTTCTTTACGAGATCTTTATTCATATATACATATATATATATATATACACACACACGTTATACATGACATATGTAATTTATATATATATATATATACATATATATATATATATATATACACACACACGTTATACATGACATATGTAATTTATATATATATATATATATATATAATGGTTTGTATTATGACGTATGATTTTGAGAAGAGAATCATCCCACGGAAGGAGAAGAATCACTTTGTCTGAGCAGCAAAATTTTAACGGGGGACAATTTCACGTGTTGCATTTTCATCGTTAGATATTTATTTTTTTGACAAATTTAAGAAATTTGCCCCATACTTTTGTATTTTTTCACTTTGTCTGCATATTTTTAAAATGTGTTATTCAACCCCGTGAAGAATGAACTTTGGCAAGAATTCTTTATTCATAATTCCAACAAGGAATCGGACAGAAAAACTTATATGGCAAAAGTGAAAAAATGTAAATCTGATATTGGACAGTGATTAGAAGGTTTAAACCCTCTTTTGAGTTTTTCTATTTTCAAAGAAAAAACGACCATCTACCAACATTAAAATAAGGTCATTTACAAAATAATTAAGTCAATTTAAGCTTTTTTTTTTTACTCAAATTAAAAATTTAAGCCGATACAAGGGTTATATCGAATTTACATTCCCTTTTTTTTAACTCGAATGATTTGTTTTGCAAACTTCTCATTTTGAAGAGGAGCAAATGGCACGTTTTAAAAGTTTGGGCCAACATGCAACAGTGACAGAACTTTGGAAGAAACTTCTAAAATTTGTCTTGATTTTTCTCTCTATCTTTCGACGGATTGGGACTTGAAACAATCTGAGAGAGAGAGAGAGAGCGAGGGAGGGAGGGAGAGGCAGAGGGAGAGAGATAGAGAGAGAGCGAGGGAGGGAGGGAGAGGGAGAGGGAGAGAGAGAGAGAGAG